ACATATCCGCGCATTAATATGAGTAAACTTTCTAGTCGAACTTACGTGACAATTTCTTCGGGGCGCCTTAATTTGGCCTGTATCCGCTGATCGGATTTTTGGTGTTTCAGCAAACACTTCAGCAGCCGTTGAGCACGACGATGATGGCAGTGTTTCTTTCTTTTCCTAGCATTCAGCTCATTTTCTTCATTTCCTGAGCCGCTCAGCACTCTGGCATCTTCCACTTTTGGTTCATCCGTAGCTTCTTCGCTTTCGAAAAAGCCTGTTTCAGTAAAGTTGCCGTTTTCTCCGCCTGTTATCGACTTTGCTTTATCGGCAGCTTCAGAATTTCTCATTTCCGCAACTGTCGCCGCCTTAGTCGACTGTTCTGTCGAAGAAATAATCATTTTTGAGGGTTGTGTGGTCGCCGTCACTTCTCGTATTCCTGAAGAATGCTCGGCGTTCAGATCATTTGTATTTCCCGTGGAGGTATACCCGAGATTTACGTTTTCCGATTTAATTTCTTTTTTATCTGCTTGATCCTTAAGGCTAGAATTGCTGGCTTTATCTGCTTGATTTTTGAGGCTAAAATTACTGACTGTTTGGCTGCTTTTTGATGTGACTTTTTCGGACTGCACTGGCGCTTCTGGACTTCTTGTTGATGCCGATACAAACTTCGCTTCTGTTATTCGCTTCGTCCCCTCTTCTTTTTCTTCTACTTCTCTACTTCTGGGATCAGCATCCTTTCGATTATCATCGGATTTTGTTTTTCCAGTCTTTGTTGATGTTCCTAGAATTTTTGTTGTTGTGGATTCTACATTTGTATTCCGTAGTCCATCTGATTTCTTTTCACTTCTTTCCCCAGTTTCCTTAGTTCTGGATTGTCTTTCTTCTTGAATATCATTGGATGTTGTTTCCTCGAGCCCTGCTGATGTTCCCAAATTTTCTGTCGACGTGGTCTTGGCGTCTTTTGACTGTTTTGCTGTTCCTTTCTCTGTGGATTTTTCACCTTCAGATCCATTTTCTGTTTGATTCGCAACGAATGTCTCTGAAATCATTGTATCTTCAGAGGCTTCATCAGCTTCTTCACTACTTGTTGGATGGTGCACAACAAGTATTTTCGATTCATCCGATTTTATATTCGTGGTATTCAGCGTCTGGAAATCATCCGTTGGCACTCGAGAATGCACCTCCCATCCATCTTCGTTAGTTATGCGCTCGTCAACCGAAAACATTGGCTCCGGATCCAGAACTTGGTACCTCCCAGTCTCCTCATCTGTCCTTGTATGCACTGGAAATCCGAATTCATTTGTGATCGTTTCTTCCACTGATTCCTCTGTTTTGGTTTTGTTTAAGGGGATTTCTTCAAATTTAGTTATGTCTACATCGGAATGAACTCGAATACCATATTCATCTGTGACTTGAGTGCCTGGTTTTTTGATTGCTGCTTTAGACGATGCGCCAGAAATTTTTTCATTTGAATTCACATGTTTTTTAAGGATTTGTTGATCAGAAGCATCTCTGTTACTATCTTTGGAATTATTTCTAAAGGTTTCGCTAACTTCACGAGGGTACTCGTTGTCATCGGGGATGTTCGACCCAGCTTTCTGCAAGCTCGATTCCACTTTCAGCCGCAAAACTTCATCGCCATCTACAGTTTTATTCAAGTATGTGGATTTTGCGGGCTTTCTAACACTTGCTTTGTTACGTTTCACAGTGATTGTTTCATATTCTGATGATTCTACGGGTGTGTGAACCATAATGCCATTTTCATCTGCATTCTCTCGACGCAGCTTTG